TGTCCTCTAATGATTTATTATGGGCAGGCCTTAAGTGTAGTCGAGTATTTTTTACTTGTAAGCTTTACTTCACTTATAATGCTTGCTTTGAAAAATCATTCTCGACAAAATTCATTTGAAAATACTATATGACCCGAGAGTAATTTCGTAATATCATAGTATACGTTTGCAAGATTTCCTAGAGAATATACCTGGTAGCATCGTAACGCATAGTTCCTATCAAAGGTTTGTCTACGTTTTGCGCAACCACAGCCTTTTCGCTCGATGGGTTCGTGGGGCTCCGACACACGGCACGTGATGAAAGCAGTGGACCCCAAATCGCGTGACAATGTGGAATTTTGCGCGATATAATTATTTCCGCTTGTCATTTCTCACCGCTCCATTGCTGAATAAATCAACGGTGATCTGACGTCAGTAGCTGCTCTCAGCTGCCGATATTTTTCGGGAAGGCTAGAATGCAGAAGGTTAAAGCGCATTCTGGGCTCTTCAACGGAGAACAGTGGGTTGGCAGGGAGGTGCTAAGCGGTGCAATGCCAAATCGCTTTTCAGGAAAACTTCTTTCGTCGATTTAGCTGTTCGAGGTTCTCTACACTTCAGTTCGGTCATATTACGTTGATGCTACTTCGAGATCGAAGAGGACTAGAATAGTTGAGACGAAGAGGTGTTACGTATTTTCTACGGTGGCCGCCTTCCAGGGTACCTTTTAGCAGCTTTCAACTGTAATATACGCGATGTTCTACAGAACAAGTCACTTTGAGGTTTAGCAGACATTGGCCCGCTTTCAATAAGACGAAACGGATGCTGCCTCAGAAATCAACGTGGATGAAATCCAAACCATGAAGAAGCGAAAAGCAGGACCATTCGCAGCAAATGACCTTCTCTGATTGGACTCATCGCCCCTGGAATACATGAAGCATTCTTCTTACGTAGGACTGATTTTAACCTGCTCTGGAACATGCTACAGAAAAGCATTAGTCGCGAGTGCCTACATGGAAGAGGCATCGCTTTTCTCGCTGAATACGGCGATACGCTTCCCCAGTGTCAAGCTCGCAGCTATGGGTTAAGATGGCATTGAAAATATCTGGTAGGTAGTCCAGCTGTGTAGGCTGGGTAGGACCTACCTGTGAAGCCTATCTTTTTCAAGCGAGCACTAAGCCTGCATATGTTTCAGCCTAACCGCTAGGTATATTTGTTGGTGGACACGCTATTTAATGAGGATCTGCACCGCCAGCTTGACTTATTAAAAGTTCTTGCTTACCTGGAATATATCGGGCAACAAAAGAAACCGCTAGCTGAATTTAAGCCGAAATATTTCGCCACCAGTGCTACGCTGGACGGAACATAGAAGGAACCGGACAGAAAGAACTGACATGTAGTGGTCCACTATACAACGCGGGGCTTTCCCCATGTTGTATGTGCCAATGAGCCAAACGAGAACCGTACTCGCGTTCAAGGCGGAGGCCTCTGCGGGCGATACCAAGTAGACTTATGTCTAAAGATGCCTCCTTTGAATAGCGTGGCGCAGAGTAGAACGAGACGGTCGTAGCGCTTCTTGCTATGTATTTTACTTACTCTGTCTTGAATATTTCTATTCTATTTTAAAAATGCTTTTATATATGTATGATCCTTCTAGCAAAGATGATAACAAATAGATGGAATCAGTTAGGCTATAGCTATCATACAATATAATCAACCATAGGTACGGAAACTTGTTGAAATATTTTAGGCGATATGGCTACATGTATATATATATATATATATATATAATTCAATATGGTATCTAAAACTGCCATCCACTAAATTTAATCGATTCCGTTTTCGAGGGTACTGGAATCTATTTACAAGACCAAATGGAAATCTCAATTTTCGATTAGAACTGGCGGAGTTGCCAAGGTTTCGTGTTGAATACAATTGCACATCGCCTAGTTCCGCAAATCTCCAAAAAACCCGCAAAAAAGACCCCGGTGGTCTTAGGTTATATGATCAAAGCGGTGGATCTTTCTGGAAATCGTGCATTCATCAGACTTATCGTTTAATAGCTTCTAAATGCCTAATGCGGGTGGCAGCGTCTCGTTAGAATCACATAACGCCCAGATCAAATTTATCCGATCACCCACCTAATTTAGCTTCGTCTGTTAACATGCCTTTGTAACATGATTAGAATTTAGTGAACAAAAACAGTCCTTTAACTTAATAAAATGACTCTTCGTAGATGGCGTGAGCGGTTTTATTGAGCAATTTTATCTACTTTCTGAGCTAGTCAGGTAGAAGTAGAAATCAACAAAGTGGAATAATTGGGACCGCATTGCAGCTACCGCAAGATGCCTGAGCTGCTTGGTCGAATGCATCCTATAGGACTGAATGTTAAGTTACATCGTATGGTATCACGCCTCACTGCTTCGATCGGTTATAGATATCACTAACGTATCCTCACCTGCTGCATTACTGTCCTCTTCGTACGATGCCTAAAACGCAGTGGGACAGATACGGACCCAGTGGTTTGAAACATCTGCACAAGATGGCGCCCTAAAACGTGCTACATGCATACTGTGCAACACTGCAAGTTCTTTGTAAAAAAAAAAAAAAATCATTTGTTAGATCCTCGGACGCGCGCGTATCATAAAGCTATTGAAGAGCATCTGTCCGGACCCGTTACATGGCTGTAACGCACAAAAGCTTGCATGACGTTAATATATTGGGTCTAGATGATTCTACATGAAACCAGATCAAAATGACGCTCGCCAAAAAAGTACATACGGTCTGTTTATGGAGATAAACTACTATTCTGGTGAGGGCATTATTCATAAAAGAATAGTGCCCTCACCGGTGTTGCCCGGGTGGGGCGTCTATCTTATAACCGTCAGATTATGAGACCGACGACGCACTGCCTACTACCGTGCCGACGCGGAGGGCAAGCAAGTCGAACAAAAAAAGAAGCGGTTTAACATTGATTCATACATAATCACGGATAAATTGCAAAAACAATTTAAAGATATTGACATTACGCTTTGAAGAGCGTGTGAATGCTGGAGTATCTCTTCCACCGATGTACGCAGCAATATGTGTGTGTCAAATAGGGCTTTTTCAGTGGAAATATATTGCGAAACATATTTCACATTTAGGTGTGATTCTATTATTGTAGGCTGCTTGTCGCCTACATATTGGTAGTTAGTTATATAACACAATTCAAATGAAACTCAAAAATATTTCTAATGCGTAATTTTAGGCACAAACATTAGAGTGAATCTCATATAAAAAGAAATGACTATCAAATAAATAAATAAAGTAGCCAAAAAATGCTACTTTTACCCATAAAAAAAATCTCAGCAAATTCTGATATTGACAAAAACAAATGATGAAGGAGCGTACATAAGATTCATGCCGTCACCTGCCGTTTTTTGCTAGCCCAAACCGATTACCCAGCCGTTTCAATCAGTAGAATAATTTTGAAAGATATGTATAATCCTCTAAGACTCCTACAGATTTCCTAAGTTGTACCGAAGAATTTCCGAACACTGTAAGATCAAATATTGAAAAAGTCGACCCTTTGACAAGTATGTCGGCCGTAGTGAAAAAGTTTGCCTACGAAATCTCCAAAGCTTTATCCGGAATAAAAGGCATACCGTGAAGTATTAGGCATAGCCTGATACCTTTGTCCTAAAATTGACCTTCTTGGATGGTAGAAGAACTGGCACGGGCTTTCACAATGCGTTGATAGGGAAACAAGTGGTAAACTGTTACTTAAAGGAATACTATAAAATTTACACACATCAGTATGTAAGACGCACACTAGCACCTAGGTAACTCGTCTCTTATATTTTTGATATAGGAAAAGTGAAAACGGCTCATATGTGGACATTGCAAAAAACGTTTCATCTTAAATAGGATAATGGCAACTTTTCCTCAAGCGTCTGACCCATTTGGCGTAGATAATATGAACACCATATTATGAACAGCTAAGTATCCTAAAAATCTATTTTCGCTTGTAATGTTAACATCTGAGTTTATTTGGTGTGTAACCGTTAAGGTCTATTTATAGCGCATTACCATATAAACATTTATTGAACGAAAAAATAACAAAGATTTAGCACGAAGCATATTTTAAATGGGCTCAATGTGTCCATTTTGTACCCATAATTGGTTACCGTGTTGATATTGCTAAATTTTTCTTACTACACAACATAGATAACATTTCTTTTGACCCTGTCTATTATTGTCACATTAGTAGCATTTTCTTGCCGTTACGGTTGTACCGCTATTTCCTAAAGAACAATGCAGCGATTGTGATACGCTCTCGATTTCATATATTTTGACTTTTTATATCTTTTAAATAATTGAAATATAAGCATGGTGATAAATTGTAGCTGAGAACATGCTTTGGCTATTAGCAGGCAAAACATAATATCTTTATAATAGCCTCGTTCCTTATTCTTTGATGAATATCCTTATTCTTACAAACTAAACAAATTAAAAAATCTTGGCAGCTTGGCTCAACATTAGTTTTCACTTGTGATACATTTGTAGAAGGCCGGATATTTTGTTTCTTTTTGTTAATAATCTTTTACGGCGTACAGGTTTCTTGCGCGCATGCGTGCAGTATTCTCAATCCAGTGGTTTATAGAAAAAAAAAGAGCTGCGCTCATTGCTTTAGTGACATGCTGTTGTTAATCTAGTTATATAATTCCAACGTATTTGTGGCCCATTAATATTGGAAGCAAACATATCCAACACTTATTGTCTTAAAAACTGTTGTGCCAACGAAACACGGCATAACGCTATTCTATCGCAACTGTTCCTGGTTTATACCAGTATGAGTCTTAAAACCCTTATGCTTAATCAACTGATAATTTTCGGGATGCACTTTTTGTCGAAATGATACTACTACTTACAAATATACCCGGCTAAACCGCTTTGAATTTCCCCGCCTAATGGGAAACGTATCGTCTGCTGAACACATAAACATTCCATGAAGTAAAGATCACCATCTGTGGCCATAGAACAACAACCAAAGCAGCACTGAATAGTGACTAGTAGCTTTTGTTGATCAGCAGTTTGAACCTTCCCAAGAAGGGGGTGCGGGTCCTAAGTAGAAAACTGGTTTGTTCTGGCGTGTTTTTGCGAACTGCTGGTGTGAAGTCTAAAGGTGTCCTTTGGACGCTTGCAAGATGTGTGACGTGACGTGCAATGATGACGGACGTATCGTGAAGATGGAAGTGGATTATAGCTCGACGGTAGACGAGAAAATTCCACTGACAGAGTCCCTTGCCCTGCAAGGTAAACTAGACGAAGCTCTAGATCAACTGCTTGCTCTAGAAAAGCAGACTCGAACTGGAGCAGATACACATTCCACCTCGCGGATACTCGTCCATATAGTCAAGCTATGCTTTCAGGTACGTTGGCCATCAAACGGCTGAGTGACCGGTTAAAACAGAACAAAGAAACATAAATATTTCTTTTACTTTTTACATTTGGTGAACGTGCTTACAGGATAGCATAAACAAGGCATTCATTATGCGCAAATATACAATGAATATCATAAATTTGATGTTTTCTATAACCTGTGTTAGTTGAACATTTAACATTTTCGCAGAGAGCACATGCGATTTTTGCACTTCGGCACTGCCCTGGCTATCTCAATATCATTCAGGTAATTGTGTCGTATTATTGCGAAACCATTACAGGCGAAGAAGTTAGACAAATTAAATGAAATGATCGTCATTCTGTCTAAGCGACGTTCGCAGATGAAACAAGCAATTCAGAAGATGGTGCAGGAATGTTGTGGTTATGTCGATAAGCTTGAGAATAGCGATAAACTCAATCTGATCGACACGCTACGAACCGTAACTGCGGGTAAGATCTATGTCGAGGTCGAGCGGGCCCGTCTAACCTATAAACTCTCTCAAATCAAGGAATCTGGCGGCGATATTGAGGGCGCTGCGACACTGATGCAGGAGCTTCAAGTCGAGACGTTCGGATCGATGGAGAAACGTGAAAAGGTTGAACTTATCCTTGAGCAGATGCGTCTGTGTCTTGCGCGCAAAGACTTCATTCGGACAGCCATTATTGCGAAAAAAATCTCCGTAAAATTTTTCGACAATGCCGAACAACAGGACCTGAAGCTCAAGTACTATGAACTCATGATCACGTTGGGCGAGCATGACTCGAAATACCTCGATGTGTCCCGTTACTTTCTAGCTATTTACAATACGAAGAAGGTTCAGGAAGACATACCAAAACGCAATTTCGTCATTCAAGCAGCGCTCCTATTTTGTATTCTTGCGCCTTATGACAACGAACAGCACGATCTTCTCCATCGGCTCAATCAAGACAAAGTAAGGGAAGTCGTTAACCTGAGCAAACTTTTGCATTGAGTAGAAGAACATTAAACAAATAGTACGGTAATTATGAAGTAAAAATTAATCATTCCTGACTTTCTTGTGCCAAAAGTTGAAAGAAAACGATACTCGTGTATGGTAGATTATTTTTCAAACGGGTGATGGGCTAAACTCTAGGCTGGCTTGGTGGAGAATATTATGTATTTTCGTATGTGACTACTATTAGATGTTAGCCTGATTGTGGTTAAAATTTCATTTCATATTTGACTCGCTGCTCGTGGTAATCCGTTCGATATAACTGAAGGTTACATGTTCTATGGAAATTCTCATTCATTCTATGGAAAATGTGTTACCTACATGTGTTTAATTCAAGGGGTTTGTTTGATACTATACTAACACATGTTTTAATTTAGTAGTTAGCGTACATGGTTGATTCTATAGGGCATTGATTATTTAGTTGCTTGGTGCACGGTGGCCTTCTTCTATTGGCGTAGTTTTTACACAAGCTTTGTTACTAATCATAACGTTGTATGACAGTTACTAGCGCTATAACAACAGAACTAAGAAGAATTTTGTCTCCTTCACCCTATACATATGGCTTACTCGCACTGCTAATTTATCATAATTTTCTTACTTTTTTTTTTCGGTGGAATGTACGACGATAAAGGTTTTGAAGGAACTCTTGAAGTTCAATCAGCTTCTGCAGTTGTTTATCACACCAGAGCTGATCGTGTGGGCCGGAATTTTCAAAGAGTATGAAAAGGAGCTTCGTGCGTCGACGGTATTCAACTCAGAGGCTCGCTTTGGTGATCTTAAGAAACGTGTGGTTGAGCATAATATGCGCGTAATGGCTAAGTACTACACGAGAATTCGGCTTGAGCGGATGTCACAGCTACTTGATCTTTCTATGGCAGAAACTGAGCAAACTTTGTCAAATCTGGTGGCCAGTAAGGTAAGATATATGTTTTCATATCTCATACATGGATCAAGCTCAATCAGAAAGTTAAACAAGCTTCTGAAAAAATAAAATATATATGCTTTAGATACCATAGCTTTAGAACCTGAGTGCAGAAATAAGTACATATATCTTTACAGTGTTATTTATCGGCTCTTGGAGCCCTTCCCATAGTAAAGGGAGTGTGACATGTTTCTACGAAGTATTTAGGAAAATTCTGCTAGTTTTTTCACTGATTACGTTCTGCCCATGGAAATCAATGCAGCGTCTCAAAAACTCAATCATTGAAACTTTAGGGGAGCCATATATTTGTAGAAACGTACTTGAATCATAAATAAAAAATGTCAAATACTTAAATAACAATTTGGTTTATCTAAAATACAATTAAAAAGCTACACTGAGTTGTATCGTTAAATGCTTTGACCTTCCTTAGTTCAGATCGTATCCTTAAATTGCATAGACCGAATGCATCAATATCATAATTTCACATTGTTAGGAAACGCGGTGCGTGATGGCCACTAAAGGTCGTTGTCGTATGTGCATCTGGTATATTTACATTATATGCCATTGATTACTATCAGCCTATTCGTTTAGTTTACAGTTTCAAGTAGTCTCCTCTGAGCATGAGTTATTGTTATTTTTTGAATAACTACTGCAGGTGGTGTACGCGAAAGTAGATCGATTGTCGAACATCGTCCACTTCGTACGTCAGCAAAAAGACCCCGAGCAGGTTCTCAATGATTGGTCCCATAATGTCAATTCATTGATGAAGCTACTGAGCCGAACAACGCACCTTATAAATAAGGAAGAGATGGTCCACAGGCACTTGCAGCCAGTCGCTATTAGCTCGCATGACTGAGCAATGACATCTGCGTGTGGAGATCATAAAAAGGATGAGTCGTCGAGGGCCCAGACACTCGATACAGTTTACTCGATTGGTACATCCTACATCCACCAATGTTGCCTCGAATTCGAGCTAGTACTTCATCGCAACGGCATCAAGATTAACAGAGTGGTGAAGTAGCAAGCGGCGTCGCATTAGTAACTAAAGGGCAGAACGTTGAAAAACACATGGGACATACCAGTTGTAGAAAATGCCTTAAATATGTAACCTATATTAAGGTACCGATATTAATAAATAGGCGTGTTTCGGGTGTATTGATATATAGAGTTTCGAGTTTATTAATATAGTAGATTTAGAATACTACAAATGATTAAAGTTCGAGGAGCAATGGAATCACCATAGTCTCAACAGTGTCCAAGAAAAATCTAAGACTGCCGTTAATTTGTACACAGTCTAAATTACGGTTTTCAGTCAAGGTGTTATTCGAAAGAAGTTTGTTTAACGATTTAGAAGTTTTATCTTCATCATAAGAGCGGTATCGCGGTAAAATAAAGTACTCTAAACATTTAACTTAGATAAAAATGTTTACAATACGCAAGGTTAACATAAAATTTTAGGATCGATTCGAACAAGTTACTTTTAGAAAAAAAATTAATATAAAGAGATTAAAGTTTTTTTTTTTTTTTTTTACTCTCTGGTAATGCGACGCTCGTTGATTTTGTATTGTGTAATTGTTGTTTTCTTTCTGTGGTGTATTGCCTTGACAACGACAGTAAGACTTGTGTTAAATGGTGAAAAGGCTGCTATACCGAAAGGTTAGCTCTCGCAAACCAGACTGCTCAAACAAAAAATATTCACACAATCTACGTCTTAAAACAAATTATTACCGTCACGCTGTCCAGCCTTTAATATTTCGTTATTATACCTTGTCAGATAATAGTAATCATATGTATGGCCGCGATATACTTTTTTCAAGTACTTCTCCTTTTTATACCTAGAAAACACTCAAAGCTCAAAATAAAATGTTTTCAGAATTTCTTTTTCATAAGTTGAAGATTAATATTAGAAAAAAACTACGAGCAGGTTATAAATATTTTTCGCTATCCGAAGATACTAGGTATTAAGTACGAATAAAGGATCCTAATGAGTGAGCATGGTTTTCTATAAGGACGCGGTTAAAACATAATATATGCCATACATAATGATGAGCATGATATTGAAATACAAAGAAGCTGGACATATAAAAATTTATTTAGTGTGAACGAAGCCTTAGAAGTGAAGGCTATGAATTACGAATACGAGAAGCCAATTCCATGGTCCAAACTTGTCGTCGGCATTTCCAGCACCGTCATCAGAGTCCCTGGCGTTCTGGCCTTAAGGCACGTCCCGTATGAAAACGAAAGCACTTACCAACGAGAACAAGCAAATTGTCTTGTGGTCATAAGCTCAATAACAATCACGTTTTTAGGTGTAACTGTCGAACGAAAGTCGGCACACCTTGAGAGATTATCTGAGAGTGGCCTAGTTCTTTACTGGCAATAATTACTTCAACTTTGACATGATGTGAAGCGTGCTTTGGTATACCATGCTCGACTTGCGAAAAATATTACTACTCAAAGTTCGTGCGGCGTCTCCTTTTTGTAAGTTCTTTACAGTTTTATTCGTCATGTTTAGTATAATTATGAGCATATTTCAAACCTGTCGTCGAAAAAGCCATAGGGATCTAAATATAGTAAGTCTGCAAGACCGACATGCGAGCCCTGTATAATTTTTATTTGATCCTGACAATCCCGCAGGTTTTTAATTTTTATAATATTTAAGAGCTTAGAATAGCAACCTACGTAGTACATTACCGGATTACTAAGTAGTCCTAGAGTAGCCTGAAGTTCTTTGAAGGATTTTATGTTATTTGACGTTTTGGTATTGCTTGTCGATTTAGATTTTCTAGCACTGATTTGATATCATCTTATACATAAACGCAGGGCCGGAAGAGCTCCGGTAGTAAAGTCAGAAGATGATTCTCACATTTCGCAGTATGGTTTCGAGAGCGTAAGTGCGTTGGCTTCCAGTTGAAAAATGAATAACACGAACTGCTATTTGTATTTGGTAACGGTAGTCGGCTCCTAACTCCGCCTGGTGCCTTAGATAACTGCCAGAATAAAAACAAGATTAAACCTTAGGGCCTATTAATAGTATGATAGTAAAGGTAGCAATTTAAAGTGCGTTAAAACGGCGCCAACATTTGTCATCTGACTGTGAAAGTATGGAAGGAAATGGACAATTGTAGACTACCTAATGAACAAAACAGATTTTATTTAACCCTGAAAAACGTTCTACCCGTGTGAGTACTGGGCAATAAAATCACTTTTATAGTACTAATTACAAACCAGTACTAACGTGTATAGATCACGTACATTTTTAACTTTACTAAAGCAAGGACGATTATAATACGCTAGAAGCCATTTTCTAAAACCCTTATGAATTCTTTGTCGAATTCCATCGGCATGAGTTTGTGTTTACGCCTCTTCGCGATGATTCTCTTTTCGTAAATCAGCAGAGCTTCGATGCCACGATCTTGAATGCAAGTGGCATCATACGGAAAATCTTGAGTGGTTTGTGACTTACATAGCATTGTATGGGTTCGGGGTTATTTTAGCGTTACTTAACTGAGTCTTAGACTCAATTCACTATTAACCTGTGGTTCCATGTTTGAAGTAAATTCGTTTAATTATATATATGTTGCGGCAGTAGAACAGGAAGCCAGCCCGACCGTCGTGGAGTCAAGCTTAACTACTTCCTCGCACTAACTTGACTTCCTCGCATGACAAATAAAATACCATTATTCGTTAGGTAAGCACTCCGTTTCAACTGTTTAAACTCTCAGGATGTTCAACATGTATTACCATCATTATGTAACAATTAGGTAATAGTATCTTGTACTCGAAACACTAAAAAATGGCTTTCACTTCTATTCTATGGTGCCATGACAAAAAGTGCACATAGTTTACAACAATCAGAAATCAGACCAAAAATAAGTTTATAAATGTAATGTTTGTACTGTGCGGCAATCCTATGTATATACAATGCGATAGAGAAAAAACAATTAGCCCAAGTGAAAATTGAATCCACGACTTTAGAATTATGAAACCGATACGTCGCTTACGGGGTTCCTAAACGTATAATAACTGATGAAAAATATGCGTGAGACAGTTTCCTAGAATTGCCGATTTTGGTAGGTAGTCCATCGACTCCACCGTGTGCTAGGTGAGCCGTTAGTCTCATTATTCAAATGTCGTAGATGTGACCTTCGCATGGAGTAAATTGTTTTTCTTTGTTGCATTTTATACAGGATTCCAGCAACAAAAACGCCACTTGCCAAAACGTCATTGTTCTCCTATGGTGAGATTCAATACAAACAGGCATGAAGTACGAACGTAAATAAGCACTCTAGCTATATATTAGGAAACGTTTCATATGATTGATCCAATTTGCTGTATTATCATTATCATACGTTGCTGTGCAACAAAGCTCACGATAGTGCACCTTTAGAGGCCAGAAAATCAGCACCCGGTTAGATGGTGTTACTCTGACAGTGTGCTTACACATAATGAAAAAGGAAATCGGAAAGTATTGTATTTGCGAAATTAATTAAAAGGTTAATGCAATTCCTGATTTTCGTGGCGTTTTATTATCGTACACATTATGATCCCAGTTTTTAATTATTCCTCATCAAATACAGTGACCACCATTGGGTATTCATTTTTTTGGGTATCATTTTAATGTGCCAAAGGCCATCTGGAAAATAGTTAATCCTTCTTCTTCCTAGCAAGCACTATTACTCCATAGCTAAGATACAGGAAGATAAATGGGTGTTTGTTGACTCGGTATTTTTCATGTTGAAAATGTCGAAATTTATGGAAAATTTTTTAAAATTGTGAATCGACAATGGTGTCAGATATGTTCCAGCTGTTATCGTTTTCAAAATCTAAAGCATTAACTTTATCTACTATATTGGATAGGGGACGAGGAGCCTATATCACTGGGTAGATTTATTTTCTTGTTAAATACACATGTTTCCATCCATTTCGAATGTTATTCAAATAATGCAACTACAAAAAATGAAAGCTTGTGTCGGGATATATAAAAACTAGAACGATCCAGGCACACTACCATTAGTAGCGGATATGTACCGAAATGTCTGACGCCAATTCAAGTGCCCTGTTACTCTCTCTGCCTTCCTTTTTAACGAATTAGTCTTGAATATAAATTGATAAAAATTGGTAAACATGCTCTAGGAATATGCATTGAACTGAAATTTTCTAATCAAGCATAACAGTTGAAGAATTCATTTCGGACTTCCTTGATTTAGCATTTGAGGTAGCGGTATATGTTTCTCGTGATTTGGACCTGAGACTATGTGAGTTTTTGGCGTAGTAAGTTGGCGGAGTTTCACTCGGTGTTATGCCCTATGTATAACACTGAATGAGGCTTTTTTGCGTTAACTGGCAATTATAGTATGATACGATTATCAAGGCTGTCGCCGTTTCTTTTTTTTAATAAATTTAGGTTTTTCGAGGCAGGTTTTTGTCGCTTCTTGAGTCTAGAGTGAAAACGGATTAAGTCATGTAATGATGTATTACTTTTGTGCGTCCCCTCTCCCTGGAGACAAGCAGCCATCACCCTTATGGGACTCTCTTTTCACTTTCCCGCACCGGAGGCACTCTGGCGTGTCATGGCACGGCAATATTGTATGCCTTTTGCTGTTGGGTCATAGTCTTTCAAGCTTTGGCTGTAGAGCCGTTCTGATCTCAGTTAGGCAGCAGAGTTCTTTCTGTCTGCGAATCAACCCCGCGTAAGAGTGCCACTATCGAAGCCACCGATGTGCGTTCAGTTCATACGGAGAAACTTTCCATATACTACAACTACATATGCGAGGGCACACAAGACAGAATCGCGTTGTACTGAGTTACTCAAACGCACGCGACCGAACAGTGTGCCGGCTAAACAGTATCGGCAGGCACAGCCACAACAGAAAGCTTCGATCTACGCGCTCTGTGAAGAAGTCGAACAAAGCGAGAATCGTGTCCAAGACTCGGATAGCCAACCAGTGGTCGCGACAACACTGAGCTATACGGTCGGCGACAGCGGTGACACAATTACAGGCGAGTCATCGCCATCGGCGCCTGTTAAAGACCTGGTTCAGCCGGTTGTTGTTACTTTAACAGCACAACCAAGCGACAGAGCTAAGAGAGGTTTCTCTTTGTGCTCTGTGCGCGAGGAGCCCTTTGCGTGACTGTGATGAGCTCTTCTTTGCGAATTGCAGAGATCGGGTGTTCGGTCCTCACTGCCTGTGCAGCTCCCCTCTATTACTCTGGCTAGTTTTCAGTACACAGCGTTTCAGAGTGTTAGCTCGTGCCTAGGGGCAGTGCTAGCTATGCAATGAGTCCGTCCAGTTCTTGTTTCAACGCAGATTAGCTGTGTTAGATAGAGTGTGTTGTCGACGGTGTTGCTTCAGATTTTGAGCTGCAGTAGCTTATCTACAGCGAACGTGGATCGCGTTACTTCGTCAGCACCGTATTCTTTAAGCTTTTATCTACTATTATTTTCTGTTAATTTCAGACTAGCTGGGTGCCTTGCTTGCGACCTTCTGTCCAGGTGCAACCCACCTAGTTAGAATTTCTGTGGCCTGTATGGCCAAACGCTGAGAGCCGACCACCTTGCCTGAGCATGTCGGCGGCTCGTGTTTGCAAGTGGTGAATGCAGAAAACCACTATCAGCAAATCTTCACCATTACTACTGTGACCATACATATTACATAGCTAAAAGGCTTGCATTTTGTTTAACCTAGAGAGGAACTGCGAACGCTGAAGGGACTTCGTCCGATCCGGTTTTCCCGTCCCCCTTTTCCTTTTGGGCTGGACGAAACTGGAGATGAACAGAGGTCACTACGAATGAAAAGACGGTGGCTCGTTGGCAGAAAGGAAGGGGACGTCGAAGCGCTACCGGTTAATAGAGTCTATTAGTGTCGTACTGTGAAAAGTGTTTTGAGGTGGTGTTAATTGTGAGTTGTCACAGGAACCGGAAGTGTCAAAACAATTATCTAAACATGAGAACGCAAAGCTGCAGCAGTGCACTACTGCTACTAATTCCACTGCTCTTGATCAACGGTGGGTTCGCTTATTCTATAATAAAAAGGATAGTTCAAAAATAACATACGATCATATTCTGTGAAGAAAAGAACCACGATATAGCTCTTTATGACCTAGGTGAAAACTGGATAAACATGATGTTGGATGACAATTTCTCGCTGCAGTGACAGCTAAACAAAAAAAGGACTAGTGGAAGGCCACGTCTTCTTAACCCACTAAAAGTGAGATGCAAAGCGCAGCCATGGGCGCAAGTTGACCCAAGAAGACCTATTTTTTTTTCGGGTCTATGCATAGCTGGCTTTTCTAGCCTAATTAACTTTGTGAGCTTGATCGATTAAAAGGCGTCTCTAGCACGCCACTGCTTACCACGGTGTCAGTTTTTATTTTTTATTATAGCTAGTCTGGCTGCTGAGAATAGTAATCAAAGTTTGTAATGTTAGCAATAATCGTGTCGTTGTTATTTTTTCGATACATGATATCGATACGCCTATGTCAATTGCGCAGTCATTTTAAAGCACAGCATTATAACTTACGTGTGTTCTTCTAATAGCATCTTACAACACATACACAATAGGTGTGGTCGAGCACGCACTGCAACGTTAATGCCCAACGGGCAAAAGCAAGCCATTTCAACAGTGCAATATGAGTTAAAAAAAAATCTGGCTCGTTTGCAAGGTGACATCAGTAGTTATATATATATAATCAAACAAAGTAACCTTTTTCAGCAATTTTTGTAATTTATATTGTCAATTTCCTGCAACTCGTTAAGACAAAAGGCAAAATATTCACCCACGCTGAGCACTTGTCCTTACACTTTGGTCCTACGACGTTATCTAAATAAAAACAGATATTCCAACGACTTTCTGTATTGGAGCTGGAAGCGTCATTCGTGGCGATTAGGCTTATTCAAAATAGCCACTATTTTTTACAGTTTTAGCTTCAATTCAGGGCCTTTAAGAATCACTCACTAGTCATTTCAAAGTAACCAATCATTCTTAAGCCGTAAATAACCTTGCAGTAGTAGCCGCGCCTCAAGAGATATTATTAGCTATAATTTCGCTTAAAGAGTCTTAAATAAAGTCGCTTAAAGACGCGTCACAGAGACCTATTCCAGGCTGATAGCAGACAAAAAAGTCTCAATCAGGAAAGGACGCAAAACGGTTCAAAAGTCCAAGAAGTAGAAAAAAAATGCAAAAAGTCTCAAAGAGACTAACCGTAAGAGCTTCTTGGGACGATCCAGTTAGCTTCTTCTCAAAATGCCCCTTAATTTCAAAATCCGATTTATCAGAAATTGATTTTTGTGCCATCCTTAAACTCTTCAAATTAAAGTCCTATCAGTTTTCCCCATAGAAATCTTTAGCGGCAGGTTGAAAAGTCATATGAGAACTGGCAACAATTTCGAGCGAACAAATAAGTTTTTGATCTAGGTAGAGGTTCATCCGGCGCAAACAAACTGGGCAATAGCTCAATTTTTCGCTAAAATTACAAAAACAACGTATTGGTTTTTACATTGCGGGCTTTGAATGATGGATAAACACACGTCGGTTATGAAGTATAACCAATATAGGTGCCGTGCTTTATATAGTAGTGCTCCACTCCTCAGAAGGCAGATTTCATGTCTCTATGCTGACTACACACCAATTGTCAAACTGTAAGCGGGAATGAAAATTCCTGTATAATTACTATGTCCTTAGCAAAAAGTCTACTGATAACATACGACGGCCAGGTTGATACAATAAAGATTCGTGACTTAGTAATAATTGAACATTGTACAAAATTGATGTTTTGGAATATCTCGATGCTGACATTAGCGGTATATAAGTTGTTTGCTACTTCTAAATCTAACACGGCAGCGACACTGCAGCCCTAAGAACGCGTGCATAATATATAATATTCCGACTGCACAGATTGAAGTATAAACTTTCTAACGTTCAGACTGCACTCAAACGCTTGTGTATACAACGTAAACGTAAATTACGTTCGATTTGTACGACCATAGATGGTCAAGCCATCCTAACAGAAACGTCTTCGTATAAAGTCAATACAACTCTAGCACGGAAACACCTACTGGTGAGCGGGAATATTCATGTTATGGATATTCCCTCCAGACGACTTTTTATGTTGTTAAAAAGGTATTAAATTAGTTCAATAATTAATTAAAATGAATTAATGATGAGCCAAAACTTGTGTCCTGTGTCCTGTCATAGACATCTAGGCTAATCCAATAGCTGTTTTCTGATGTCAGCGTACCAATATCACAACAAACTCGCCGAGCTGGAGACCGTTCCCATCGAAGGTGAAACGGTAAAACGAGCTGTGTCACCAGTCGTAGCAAACAGAATAACGACGTTACGAAAATACCTATAAGTTGTTTCCATGTTGACAGTTGATGTTGAACTTCTATATCCAGGCTAGCTTGGGTTAGCCACTGAGGAAGGTAAAAAAGGATATGGCAGGACTGATAATTTGAAGCCATGGCATCCTTAGCAAGGATCGATGAATAAAATAAATAACAATAATAGTAAATACAAAGCTTTTTTGATTGAGCATGCAAAATATAACCGAAGTGCTATTTAACTACAGGACGTATATAATTGAAAAGATATCTTTAAAACCTTGGGAGAGCGTTTGAAACGTATATAGTCTAATTATCTTTTGGACAATTATGACACGTTTTACAAAATATAACAAAAAGAGAGAGCTCGAAACGCCCTTGAGCTGCTGTGAAAAGCTACCAGATAATCAGAGTCACTTTTTTCTGTCGATGCTGCTTCTATCCAGTATTGGCTACCTGCGGGATACCACACAGGTTTTTTCTTATGGAGTTACTTATAAATAATGCTCCGAAATCATCACCCTCGTTAGACTAGGCTGGTAGACGGCTAAACCATACGAGACTGATGCACACTATTAGAATCGACAATAGAAGCAACAACGGCGACCTTGACGTCTCGTTTACATTCAACAGAGGCATATGGGGTGAGGATAGGGACATATACACATAGCCATTTGCCAAGATCACACGAGTGAGCCGCTTGACGAAAATAATCTCCCAATAGGTGAAGATAGTAGGATAAACAGTGTTGCATGGTTAAGCGAGAGATAGGACTGTATGAGATCTAAATACTTGGAGCACTTTCCGATTGGTAGGACACGTGGACACTCTGTTGGCTTAACGGAACATTTCTACTGCCCGATCAAATTGTAACGGATAGTTAGTACACGGTGATATAAGTAGTTTATAATAATGGCTACCGTAGACACGCTAATATTATACTTGAGCTCGGACTACAAAGTTAGTTCCATATTTATTAGAACTGTAGTAATATAAACATAATAACTGGATTTATTGCCTTTTTCAATAATCCATACACTAGCTACAATTTGTTTTTTTTTCTAGTCCTGTTTGGAAAGGAGAAAATCTGGACGGAATCTATGAAATGGAAAACTCAGTAGCAGTTGCCATGAATACCGCCTTATAAGCGCCCGTATCAACAAGAACGCGACCGCTATTTCTAGAATAATCCTTGCATACACAATGCACTATCATAATGAAGAAAAAAAAAAAAGACATTTACGTGCACTGATCTTAGGCGCAATTAGCTTTCAAACTCTTCCTCTTTCCGCGTCCATATAAAGATTCCTTACGTTTCTAGCATCCATTGCATGTGTAAGAGGCTAAGAAAAACACTGCTTTTGACGAATATACTTAAGGGAATCCGATGCAAGAGAACGCTCCCTATTACGACAAGTTTATTGCGGTTGTCTGTATGTAGCCACATGGCTTGAAGCATTATGGAGAACTACAAGCCAAAACAACGACGACGACAAAATAGAGAAGGATGTATGGCTGGCGGCTTGTTGTCGCCCCTGCTGCCAGCGCTAACGACGGCAAGGATCTACGTAGCGCGTAACTGGTTGTCGAGGGCCGAGCGGGAAAAAGAACGAGGCTCCCGCTCTACCACTTGACTGATCTACGTATTATTATTCTACCTTTCTATAGCCACTGATCCTCCTCTGCCTGTTTTTAAGCGATTACTGAGGAATCAGCCTGAGACAGCTGTGGCTTCCGCGCAATGGCACCTGCGACATGCGCACACACAAGGCTGCAAGCTATGCCTACGCCTCAATTTGATTCGTCCGCTTCGACGGAATACCCTAATTAACCGTTTATTTCTCTATCTCGCGCTCTTGTCTAACCGAAAAAAGGGGCGGGGCAATAGATGGGAGAGGTTTGAAAGTGACTAAGAATAGACGTTAACACCAATTGAGTCAATTTGTTTAGATTCTAAACATCCTTGCTGAAGTCGTGATAGGAACTGTGGAGTATGGAGAGCGTGGCTATTTCAAACTGCCGAAGGCAGTTTTTAGCCTCTTTGGGCTATTTTGGGCATATCCTCACAAAAGTTGATAACACGTTTCGGAGTATTCGACTAAATAGCAATACCAAGACAGATCGAAATGAGTCCGTATCCACCGATGACGAAACGCATATATTATGGTAGCATTTTTCATCGACTACCCGTTTATCTTTCATTGGATTTAAACTCCGAAGCTTATACAAGTAAAAACATCATTATGTTCATATATCCCATAATGGTCGATTACACCCTCAGCCTACGTTGTTCCAAAACGTGTGTTCTATATTTGTGAAGTTCAAGCTTAAGCGTTTTTTTCACTGTTTTCATAAATATTTTACGTTTGAAATCCAAAAAGTATAATACAGAGACGGCAGTATATTTTTACTGATACAGTAAAAGTTCGTGCGATTAGGACAGAAAAAGAGTTTGAAAGCGGCAAGATAAAGTCATATATTGTTTATTGTACTGCGAAATTCACGTGTTGTATCTGAAAGAACTGGTTTTCACCTTTATTAAAGCCATCAGCTACATGTGAAGTTCTCAGAGAGGTCTTATACCGTGACCGAATTTTAACTCAGCGCTATTAGCGTTGCCAATGTCTTTCTCCGATAAAATTCGTTCGATCTTCCCACAAGGTTACTTTCAGCGCAAATCCATGATCTTCATCATAATTGATCCCTATACAGACCGAGCGTTCAAACGTAAAATGGTTTTCTTCTAAACTGACACGTTAATTGATGCTTATGTGACGATACCTTCACTAGCAGAGTAAGAAGTTCTGTCGAAAAAAATCTTTGGTAACGAATGCTTAAATTATCGCACAAGTTTAATAATAGAACTATGAGAACGTCGTTATTGCCAATATATAGTTTGCGCAACTTGTTGCAATATTTTGGAGTAAAACCTAAGTTATAGGTGACTCTTTCTTGTGAGACGAAACAGAAACAAGACTTGCGGTGCATATTTGTTGCATTGTTTGACAGTTACCCTACATGCATAGTTTAATGCTTTCTTCATAATGACTTCAAATCATGCTCTATACCAAACAAAGCACTATACGCTCAAGTTGATAGATAATCTCCTTCTGCATGCGCTCATTAAAGTGCACATGCGTACCGTTACACTTTACTGTCCCGTAAGACCGTAGCAGTCGTGACGGAACAGTGGGGCGAATACGTGAACATGTACGCCGAAGATGGCAGGCTTACCTGTCATCCTACTCGCACGTCACGGGTAACTTTTGAGCGACCGGCATAATTAATATGTCAAAGCAAGTGGACGGGCTTTCGCAATTGCGGCCGCCTATCGGTGGACTCTTCGCGCTTAACCTATAGCAATTTCCGTAACGCAAATGAGAAGTCGTTTTCAGTAAACGTTTCAAGTAAGTAAAGCGTAATTGCATAGCTATCCCGACTCACGTACACATAAACCATTTACAAATCGTACCGTGTTGCACTCTAAAATCCAATCTATTATGCAGTAGGTGCAACAGTAGGTACAGGAGCTATATTTGTAGAGACGTTGCGATCCAGGCCCGTCGAGCATGCTTCGGCAGCCCCCGGGCAGTGGCATAGTTATGATCACCATCCACCTAAGCAGAACGGACGGCGAAGTCGTGTGCCACATCATAGTAGGGACTGGTATAATTTAGCCAACCAGCTCACGTCCGTAAAGTAAAACCAAGCATTAGAGCCGGCTTTAGGTTACGACGGGATTGTACGAAAATTGACACTTACTTTTTATGCGATCTACGTAGAAAATATATCAGAAAAAAAAAAAAAAAAAAACTATTGATTGTTACTTGTATGTAAAAGAGCTATCGAATGCTGCCATAGTGAGTCAAGGTTTAATAGTTAATGCATAATAATTGCGACCAAACACTAGCCAAAAATGCCAACAAAACCCCAGGATCAGAAACTTAAAAAAAAATCTATCAAACGCTTCTTGCTTATTTCTGACACGTGCTGCTACCGTAGAAACTAAGGTATGATTTACGAAACGAAGATTAAACATGCAGCGTATGTTTTAATACTTCCAATATAAAAATTGTTTTTTAAAATAATTTTTGTTAGAACATAGTCTTCTATTTAGGCGTCGATCTTCTAGCCTTTAATCACAGGAAATCTCAGAATTCATAATTGTTTTTGACCGTATATTCAATTCGATATTCCATTGAATGGCAATAAATAAGAGAAATCCTTTTTTTCCAAGATCAGGTGCCGTATATGGTGTGCGTATAAGCAAAAACGAATCAACGTCTACAGTTGGATATTATCACAAAGTCTCAATTATTGCCGAGAAATTGACTTATCGTTATTACTTTTATTATTATTATCGTTATTATTATATAATTAACCAAACATAAAAAGATGATACTTTTCTGATTAGTTGTTGTGCATGTTACATGTGGCAGGTATGACGGTCAGTGGCGACGATGAGGAACAAATTATTGGCCTGGACGGTGACTCTACCCGTTTGCCCTGTTTGGTCGACACGGCCCACTGTGGAGATGTATATCTTATTACATGGTCGAAATTCGTCAACGATATGTGGAAGCGCGTATTCATTTATAGGGCGACGCGACAGACGGCCCTGCTCGATCTTGCGGACGGTGCGACCACGAGGGCCGATTTCTACATAAAGAATACAACAGCAATTTTACAAATTGCCCCGTTGCGTCTGACCGACGAAGCAAGATATAAATGCGACGTCACCTACACGAAAGGCGGCTGTCCTTCACTCTCGTATGCACAGCTCATCGTGAGAGGTTCGGAGAACGCAGTTTTTTTTTAAAGTGTTTCTACAAGACATACAAATACGATGAAGCAGATACGATCCAATGATTCTCAATCACGTCACGGTAGGACGTCTTATCTGATGCTAGTCAGCATGAGTCTAATTATAGATACTTACGTATACAAAATATAGTGTCAAATCAACATACATAGTGCATAAGCTGTGTCTCTATTGAGTTCGTTTCTATAACGAACCTCATACGTGTTGTTTGTTTTTATTAATTAGAGCTAAATGAAAAGATTTTCATAGATGCCAGCCCATTTCGATTGATCCAGCGTAAGTTGACCTTAGGGCAGTGGCAGTCAATTTACTAACTTGATACAGAAGTATCCGCCTCAGTCATTTTGCCATAACAAGCTTCCTTCTTTTGGCTGCAGGGAAATGCATACTTCGTTTGTACAGCGGGCGTAGTAAATCATTGGTATTTTTAAGGCTATAAAAGCCCAGTTTTCTGGAACGATGTATATTATCTCCATACTACAAAATGAAGTATGTCTAACGACGCTCATTCTATCTGGGTGTAAGCAACTGTGCGAAAATGGAACGCACTATGTCTTCTCTATGCCCAACTACAACACTAAGTATTAATATATAATAACTAATGCCTACGTGTATATTGCACTATTGTAACTGACTAGCATTACTATACTATCTTTTTCTACATATCTGCATGATACATATATGTTACTTTGATTGAGTTGTGGAGCCGTCGCATGTCGCTAGACGCTAAGGCCTTAGCGTGTTAAACGTGTGCCTTAGCGTTTAGACAGCTATCAGTGACAAGAGATATGTTGTTAGCACCATTCCGCTGTTTCACAAGTACGAGAAGACATTGCTGAGATTATTGGACCGTGCTAACAGAGACGAAATTGAAATGACAGCCACCGTCTTTCCACCTTCCATTTGTTAACCATTCAAGTTAAGCGGCCTCTTTCTTCAATGCATTTTTGCTATACTGCTTTATTTGCCCGCTGCAGCTCGGCACAGTCTGTATCCCTGTCCGCCTGAATACTATTACGACAGTCGGTATCGGCCGCAGTCACAGGAGCGATGATACTGACGATGACGACAACGAGGAGATAGATAGGTTGTTCAGCCCCGGAGCCTAACAAGGGAAAAACGTCAGAGATGAAATGGCCCACTAAGGATAGGAGAGGGGATACGGTATCAAAGACAAAAAGTTGGACATCCGGCATTGCGGCGGTGGTGGTGGTGGTGCCGATATTGAAAGAAGGACACCATGCGTGGTGTCACACCGCCGTGGAGAAAGCACCTGTTCTGATCTCACAACGGATGTATTAGGTACCTGATCAACATCATGTAGCAACAACAGCAACAGTTGCAGCGTTAGAAGAGAACCTGTCACCCCCGCAGCGGCTGCAAAAGTTGCATGACCTTTAATGGTTTTTCTGACCTGACGAAAGAAAGGAAAAATGAAGGAGAAGCGGAGACAGAGCAAGTATCATACCGTCAAACTGCCATATGTTTCCGCGTGGTGCTAACAGAGATACCAACAGCAGGCAGTAACACAAAAAAGCGTGATATCTACAGAAACGATACAAGGCGAATAAAGCTGGTAACGGAAAACGGCCTTTGCTTTGTCATACTTAATTTCCTATCTTCTGCCCATTTACGCGGTACAGATCTAATGGGCAACCACATGTGAATTGTACAATGCCATTCTTGAAAACATATCTATGACTTTTTTCTAGTGTTGTCTGCTTCTATGAATAATTGTATGCGTTCCTTCTGGTCCTTTTTTTTAGAAAGCCGACGAAATTCATACAGACGATGCTTTAGATCCGCTGCTTGATGTCACTTCGTCGTGAGTCCTGTCACGTACCTGCAATAACATTTTAAAGACAAAGTATATATATACATATATATATAGGTTGTGCAATAGGCGTCGTTAAGAGGGAGGGTACTTGAGGCATCGACTCCTAATATCTTTAAAGCAGATTAACTCTATTTTATTAAATATTGCGAGATTTCAAGCGGAAGCTAGTTATGCACGTAGACAGACATTTTAGGTCAGGTAGAATTCCTTTTAAACTAGCTTCCGAAGCTAAAATTCCTTTTAATTTTCCTCCTAAATTTTCTTCCATAAATTGATATCAGCACGCATCTGCACGAATGAACTAACTTTGACTTTGAAAAACATAAAATGAAAAATGTAAACTTGTTTCTAATACGTCTGTGTTCTATCACTACACTGGTATATATACATGGTTAGACCTGAACGAAGTGAGGCATAGCGAACGTTGTCGTGTGTTCTGTCTTCTGTATCCTTCCAGCAAAGCCTAAAGATCCGATTCTAGAGTTAAGTGGTGTGGAATACACGGATGGCTCGCCAGTGGGACCACTCCTTGAAGAAGAACAGTTTAATGTGACGTGTACAACGCGGGGCGCTAAACCTGCCCCCGAAGTGATCCTGTACCAAAACGATGAAGTTCTTAGGACTGCTTTGGAAACATCAACCGAAGATGGTTATATTACATCAGTTGTTACCTATTCGAATATATTTAACAGGAATGACATCCGGTCAAGATTTCGATGTGAAGTCCGACACGTTACCTTCCCTGAGCCGAAACGTATCGAAGTTAATATCACACTTCACTGTAAGTAGGTTTCTTTGAACAATAATAAAAAAAATAGCAATATTCATTTCACTTTTCGAGTAGAAAATTTCACTAATTAGAGCATTCCCTAAAAGATTAGAGCCCCATGATTTTGTAAGTTCAAATCTCTAACGCAGCGTCTACACTATGGCGCTTTATCAGATTATAAACAATGTCTTGCTGACAGGACGCGACAAGGTAGGTTATTGACAGCAGTAGACTGTTAGTCTGACGCTTGCCAAAAATGGCCTTGGCAGCAAACTTGCTAGGCGTAAAGCTAGAAATATGCCCAACAATGTGTGATAATAAAGATCATAGTACAGGAATGCTGTTTATCGTCATTTGTTATTCTTACCTAAACTAAAAAACTCAATACCTTATTCCCAATGAACGAGTTTGGCTATTACGAAAAAATGCGCAATATTCGTATATTCGTGTATTGCGGATGTACGTGACGGACGATATTTCTGGAGCCGTACGGACCGATCGATTTCAGAAAGAGATCGGTAAGGTTGTTTTTATCTTGAAAGCTTTACAGGGTTTTGCAAGATTTTTAGGTTTTGTGTAACTTGAGCATAGTTGTACTATAAATGTATGTGCGAGAGTTTTTAGTAATAGACAAATGGACAAAATTTCGGGAGTTTTGAGGCGTTCCTTATTGTATACTCGTTGGAAAAAATATCTTTACTAATTCCAGTGCTACGACTGCCGAGTGTGCGTGGGTGGATCTTACGGGGTAGGGTGCGTGTGGCCAGAAAGGTCACTCTGCTAGTAGTTTTCGCGTCCTGTGAGTTGACAACAGGCAAACGGGAGCTCAACAAACGCTCCGCTGGCGAACCTTTTCCGCATGGTCAGTGTCTGGAAACGGTGTAGTAATGCCGCAGCTGATGACGAACGTGATGATAGCTATGGTGGCATCGACGACATGTTTTTGCATTGAGTTTTATTATTTCTTGATGCTATTAAACGTATCGACTTGCCTACTCTGCTTATTATATAACGGATATACTATCATAACTATAAATAACCACTAAAACGGATAACTAAACAGTGAACGCTAAACGGAATTGATAGTATCGATCTGGATTATTTATACGGTGTTGGTACTTGTTGAATTGTTATTAATATTATTAGCGTTACTGTTTTCACATGCCGTTAGGAACTTGAATGCGTTCTAAGCACAATCGTAGTTGCGAACATAACAAAAAAAATGCGATCTTTTGGGCAACTGAGTATAATACGATTCAAAAGACGCTGCGTTACAGCTGTCCTGCCTATCTAGTGGTCTATATTTCTGTTATTACGATAACCAGTACAAGGGCAACACCATTCTGATCATCGCCGTGATCGCCTTCGATGTTTGCGTAGGACGATGGGCCTGCGTAAAAACTTGTTGTCGTTGTTGCTGCCGGCCTCGTTCAAGCGATTCACACGGGTGAGTTCAGTGAGAGAATCGTGTTGCTTATTCTTTTCTTCGGGATGCCTTTTGAGGCTGGAGGAAATCGTATGCCAGTGATTCTCTCTCGGAACTAAATTTACGCGGGTTCGTTTTAGGGCGGGCCTAGTATTTGCGTAAACCAAAGCGAACCTTATGTGAGTCGTATCGTTTTAAGATAGCAGTTTGAGGAATGTACTGTTGATGATAAATGTATATGAGAAGAGTGAGTGAGACTGCCCCGTGTGTTTGTCACTTACTTAAAACAATTTAGACTTATTTCGAAACTATATGGTACCCATTACAGTTACATGGTTAATCTCAGATTCAAAAGACCGAATTTTTCGAACAAGGTAAGGTTAAATAGTGGATTTGGACGCGGTTATGGGAACGCGTTCATAGGCTATATATATATATATATATATATATATATATATATATACACCCAGCTTCCGCCAGCATCTATACAAGTGGGAAAAAGTATGCGGCTTGAAACTGGAAATAACAATTTGTATCTCGGTTGTTTTTTAGGATAAGATGGTGATTCATAAAAACATAACTAAGCCATTAGACACTCTCTACAGTTCACTACTACGACACATCTATCTTCTATTTAGAAGATTTTTTCTATAGAAGAACTTTCGTTCTTCGCGGTCCTTGCTATTGTATTCAGTTATACGTCTTCTACAATCAGTACAACTGTGGTTAACAACCTCATCGTGCAGACGTGGTACAGACAATTAAAAATAATAATTAAGCTATCTCGTATTCTGCGCGTATCGAGTACTCGACAAGAAAAACAATATATATACTGAACCGTATTACTTTATGTGCTTCACTTGATTCTGGTTAAGTTCGCTATAGGTTAGACATATCTGTATTAAGTTAGAGTTATCACTTTTTGTATTTTTTCCTTTACTCTATGGTTCTCCACTGGTGCACGAAACGATAGTGCATCAAACATTTCATTATTTCGTGTGGGCCTGTTTTAAATGCGAGCAGGTATTGAATCTAGCCACCGAGTATCGTACAGAACTCCACGTTGATGCACAGCCTTTATTTGGCCCTCCAGTGCAGTTTGTCCTTACGATAACTTAGCCTCTATATGGACATATCATGTTATGAAGCGTCTATTGCTTCTATTCGAAACAGGTCCGGTATCTGCTTTAAGGAGTACTTTGCCAACCTCCCTACCGAATATATTATCGATTAAAGTTTACCTTTTGTTTATGATCTGTAGCTTTCATTTCTTCTATAGAAACACAACAATGTACTATTGTCCGAGATTGCATTTGGTTCTTCAGAAATGCTTTTGTCTGATCTACTGATCGAGCCTTACGAAAAGATAGCTATTGGATAACAAATGAAGATTTTTGTATCACTCATTTATTCGAGCGTTGTAATTCAATAACCTCGTTTGATTTGTCCAATTTCAGTAAAACCACGCGATATCAGCTTGAAGCCCCCGTTAATGAACATCCCCGAGGGCGGTCGCATGATATCGACTTGTGTCGTACAGGGCGCGAATCCCCCGGCGAACGCCATTTGGTATCGCCAGGGTATCGAACTGGGTTCTCAACCTCCGTCATCTCATACTCGAACCGAAGACGACACGTTCGACACAACTAGTGTACTTGATATTTCGGTCAATCGCTATGACCACGATGTCGTATTCGCGTGTCACGGGACCAACGAGGTCATGAAACAGAAGGGTGCCATTCCACTTATGGATAATTATACAATGAGTGTACTTTGTAAGTATTTGATCCGACTCGACGGTCTTAATGATCGTAGAACGTTGTCTAGAAAAAAAACATCGACAAATAGAAGCGAATGGATAACTAATAATATGATGTGAGACCTGGAAAGCCGTTCCGAGAGGCTTTATAAAGGCAATAGGTTTGCAGAGGAACGTGTTACTGATGGGAAAGAAAATTCTTATTATATTATATGGTATTATACTGAGCCTCACGAAAATATCTGAACAGCAATTAAAAATACTTTTTTTTTTTACCGGAAATCGGCGAACAATGTCAGCGAATCATTAATTATTATTATTAAAACTCTTTTGATATTGTTTGGGGGGCGCGGGGGGAAGGGTAAACAATACAGTCATATGCAAAACAGTAACTCACGGTATTGTCACCTATTACGAATAGCCCGCGAATGGTATCAGTTAGATTTTAAATTAAACTTGCATTTTCTATAGGTGATTTGAGAAGTTTACTGATTAATGATCAATCAATTGTCCTACATAAAGGAATATCTTTGGTTGGTCCCTTGGAGCCCATTAGGATCGATACTAATCGTTTTTGGATTTCTAGAGCCATGTCAGAAATAGTGTTTCGCAAACCTTGATGATGTTTTGTTCGTTAAAACATGATGCTTTCTATAACCTAACAGGTTGTTTGCGCAAACAAAATGTAAGCTGGTTAAAGTTAGGTCTGGTAAAAGCAATGCGCAATGGTGAATTTGACAATTGATTCGCTTATCGCTCTGTACTAGGTTCATAACGGGACAATAAATATGATCAATCTGACTTGCTTGGTCCTGGCCGTACGCTAACGGCGAGCTTTATAAAAGATACACTGAAATCATTGAACACACGTTAACTATGTTACGTCACAGCGGCGCGCTCGTTCATTGGCTAAATCGTGGCTGTATCTGTCTGCGATCAGAGTCGTCAGTGAACGAATACGTTTAGCGTTATCTCAGTTCTGGGGATCGTAGGTCGTCTGCTAAAGAAGCGTCAACTGAGAAGCGAGTTCGGCAAGGATGCCATCATTAAATCTCATTGCTTCTGTGTCTTTAGGGTGTGCCTGTTGTCTTTCCTGTCTATCCTGTCGCGCTAAACGCTACCCTCTTTCTCAATCGCGGTCACACACTAACCGTTCGTGAGAGATTTGCTATATCATCAATGACCTCGTTATTTCCCCCATCGCTTTTGACGGTTTAATTTGTAATCTCCATTGAGTCTAATCTATTGCTTTCGACTAGTTCTTAGCATCTTCTTCCACCTATGCATACGATATATTGTATAATATCTCCGTATCTCCCACTTTTCCAATGGCAGTATCGAAGCAAGCAACGAACAGGATCGCCAGATCTGATCTAGAAAGGTTTCCTCAACAATATACACTAAGTGTACCCGCTGTTCCCTAAGTCGACCACTTGGAACCACCGCAGTTCATGGCTGATTAACAAATGCTTGTACTACTAGCCCATCTTATCCAATAATTGTCTACGATATATAGCTCTGCTTGGGTCAACTGGATTCGAAGTAATCACTGATATCACGTGTTTGATGACCGCTGATGCATAGCACGTCTAGGGGCACGAGGGGGAGGGGGCGCGATCTGCCGATATCGACGTAGAAGTGATATAAGACAGTATAATAATGAGATCAAGAAGAAGATTGTCGTACGCTTAACAATCCATAGTAGGCCAAAATAGGCTTTATGAAGAGTGAGAGATGCAATGCTTGCTTCTTGTCCTTTTAGAACCGTATTTTCCGTCTTAAATTGAAACTTCAATCGTGTACACTCAGGCTGTCTGTGATTTTGGCATGATTGGAAAATACTACGGTGGAAACTGCCTGTGTGGAGAGAATACAAGGAAGATTCAAACAATTCCCCGTTGACTTTCCTATCAAAAAACCTAAAAAGGTTATTCATAGCCTTCTTGGACAGCGTCCTTTTCAGTGGTGCGAGAGTTCCTCAAAGGCCTAAATGCGGGAACGACTTGGTCGCTTTTAGTTATATATAACAGTGCCAATTTAACGCTTTTCTCTATTTTTTTTTTATTTATTATTTAATTTATTTACTGTTCAAAGCTTTTACTTAACTTTTTTTTTTTGTTTAATTTAATTTAAAGTGTTCTTCTTTAACCATGAGTAAGGTAATTAAGAGATACTCAGACGACCGCCATGGGATAAAGGGCAACTATCCTAGGAGTACGGCATAATATAAATAATTAACACAAACGTACAGAACTACTTCTGTAAGTCCCGCAACGACAAGGTCAAGGCGGAGAATATCAATATTAGGGTAACTGAATAGCCGAAGCGAAATGGTTGAAACAATCTAGCTGAATCATTGAAACAGGATAATGAAATAAAGGTAACGAATGAATAGAACAAGGCAATACACCAAGAGGAACAGGGCAATTGGGCATCAATAATCTTTTAGGGTAAGGGGCATAGGTATCGGAACACGAACGCAGTTGTCGATGTGACACGGTAACGAAAAGAACGCAATCAACGATACAAATAGCTTCGAGATGTGCGCGTGTCGAACAATGCTAGCCCCCCAACAACTACTGTAAAAATATTCAACAATATTACGCCAGTGGACGTTCGCCGCTTCTCCGAGATAAGTCGTTGTACATTATTATATAAAATAATAACGGAACACTGATGTTATGATGAGTGTTGTTATTTTAGGCTAACGGATTGACGCGTACGTTTTTACTTTTTTTTAACATCGCTTAGTCACCCCGTTTGTGTGGATCGAGCGGGCTAACAGTGAACCTGTCAAGCAGGGCACGGCTGTCGATATCATCTGCAATTATACGGCAAATCCAACCAATATCTTTGACTACACGTTTGCCAAGGACAACGTGACTATCCACGCCGCTGACGACAAACTTTACGAACTCATCCAGGATCACAGTAACAGCTCAGCTAGCAACAGCCCGATTCTGAGAATCCTTAACGTATCTAAGGACGATCACGGAAACTACACATGCTCCCTCAAGAACGAGATGGGCTGGGGAAACTCGTCCAATTCGGTTTCTCTTGATGTCATGTGTAAGTCGCAATTTTACCAGAACTCATATAATACAATGAATGAATGGTAATGGAAAAATTAACGGATAAACATCACGGCTCACACTGAGCCGCGTTAAGCTTTGACTAAAGATTAGGAGAAAAGCGTTTGGAACGAAATGTCTGATTGTATAGGAAATGAAAGCAATGATTTTCGGTCGATTGGTTTTAGTTGATTTTCGTTTTTATTGCAACTTAAGCTATCTGCCAGGTAGGAGCGCACAGACTCGCATCAGTTCTAGTTGATCAGGTCTCTAAATTGATTTGCGTTGGTCTCGAACTGTGAATTTGTATGTTTTACTTCCAATTAACTTGGCTTCTTCGTGCGGGTTGTTATATGAGGGCTTTATTAATCTGGCCACAAAATTAGGGAACAGCAGCCTTCCTCTGGTTACCGTTTCCATCGTGATGCTTCATTTTGCCTGCGCGGCATTTCCGTTTCTCACTCTTAATGAAGGACCCATAAACTCAAACGTGAAAGCAGTGACTCTCCTGAAAGACTGGCAATTCGGTGGATCCGTCCATCGGTTAAAGGACTCACCTTTTCGCTTTCGTAGTGCCCTTTTTCCCAGTTGCGGCCTGTTTCATAACCCTAACCAGCCACCGCCAGCATGTCCAACTTGCAGCCACCGAATAATGACAAAGTAAAGCACGTCACTTTTTTTTTAGCTTTAACAAAAGAAGTTTGAACTGAAAAGAAAGACCCAATTCCCCGCGGCTGTAAGCTCAACTCCACCAAAACTGCCGTCAAAGGGTATCCGACAAGCACCGCTGCAAGTTATGCAAGACTGGTACTGCAGCAGAGATGGTGCTGTTGTTGTTGTTACTAGCGAATCTAGTACCTGCCACCCAAACTCGTGTTTTGAATAAAAAGTCACAAAGAATTGGATGTTGGTATTTTTTTTTAGTTTTCATATATTGTATAGTTTTTATATGTTATAGATAGTGTAGTAGCTAGCATGTCTTTCGCCAGCGCGGAACGTCGAGCTCTTTAGAATTTATCACGATTTTATCCAGTTATTCTGTTCTGCTACTGACGTTGTTACCGTACAGACAGACTATCAGGTGGCTCCAATCAATTTGTGACTAAGTGCTGATGATGAATAAATCGTCTGCTAGAAATAATAGTTAGGTTCACTGTTTTCCCAATTACCTGGACCCGTTAAAACAATTTATGTCCTTATTAGCGTCACGTTGCGAGAACTGTGCCCCTGCCTATTGCTAGCAAGCTATGATGTACTATTTCTCGTTATTGTCGCTCGCTGCAGGAGAAATATTTCGGTCTATTACCAGGTGGACGAAAAACTTCTATTATGGTCGGGACCAAAGGACATCTGAGCTTTTTGAAAAAAGCTTACATATAACTATGCACAATACACTGCTTTGCTTTAGGCCACGAGAGCCCGCTTTCGTAATCATCGACAGCCTCTTAATATATAGGAGTTCCATCGCTTGCTAGTCTTGCCGTAACGCCTAGGTCAATGCGAAATGGGCGCTAGCTCAGCCCACGTCACCGACCCTGTGCCCTTGTAACCAGGGTCGCATGCGACGTCCGCTTTCGCTGCCTACCCTATCGTAGCGGTCGTAAGTCAGTCACTATGACTAACCGCTTTTATGTACAAAGGACTTTCTCTCTAAAGCGAGAGAAATATAAGATAATTATATAATGATTACCTCTAAGTTCTAAAGCTTGAACGAAATGTGCTACGACATTTGTTTTATGTCGAAACAAATATACCCTTATTACTTTATTTAAAAAATTGGGTAATTCATATATTTTTTTAATAATCTTGGAGAAGGGGTACAGATATAAAGTAGTTTCTTACCGCACCTAAAAGAAAGATAAGATAAACAGATTCAAGATCCATTCCATCCAAGCATTGTTCAAGGTTTAAAGTTGGCCCATTAATCATGAGATTCAATAATGTTATAATGGGGGGCATTGACAGTACGAATAAGGGAATTATACCGTAAGCTTTACGGTGCAATCATTCGGAAAGCCGATAACTCAGAGATCAAGGTTCCCCTTTAGAAATCATTGGAAACCTGTCGTCGAAAGGTCATACAGTAAATCATAAAAGAAGTTGTTACTATCAAGGTATAGATGTATTGGTTCAGTGTTCAAATAGTGTTCCTTATGGCGAATGACTTAGCTGGACTAAATTGTTTTTTCTTTTCAAATATTAAGAGTATCGAGAGCATTTCACAAATTGCAATAGTTATCGATACGAAACTTCATTGTATTAGATGGACAACAGACTGCAACAATATTGTACCGTTGTTGAAATGCATATGTAAATTCTAATATACGTTTATGAATAATGGTAACCTTCGTTTTAGACCCACCATCGGCAAAACTGGAGATGAACCCAATGACGGTGAAAGATATTGACACGATGCCCAAAGACGTTGAAGTACTACTACGTTGCGATGTTGAGGACGGCAATCCCACTTGGACACACCGGACTCGTTGGTACCATAATGGAGTGCTTTTCAATGAAACCTCCGAGTACGAGTTAGGGCTTCCTGGATACCGAGACCAGGCAGGAAACTATTCATGTAGCTTGCTGAATGATGCTGATTATGGAAATCTTTCGTTGCCTGTATACCTCGACGTTGAATGTTGGTATTATGAATTGTGCACAAAAAACACTAATCAGAAGCTTCTAATATTTCAGATGTTTCAAAGTGTCGTTAATTGATTTTATTTAACGTTAAAAAGTTTTTTTTTTTTACGATACAACATTTTGGGTGTACATCATAGCAGCAGTTAGCTGACCGCCAATCGTAACGTACGCACTACGACGAAGCATAGTTCCCTTTATGAGGATTACATAAGAAGTTATACGTTAAGCTGAGAGCTGCACCTTAGAGATTTCAAAAGCTACTTCAGCTCTAATAGAGTAGCGAACACTGCCGTTTTTGGGCAGCGCGGAGATCGACAGTGTCGTAGGGACTACTCCAAATAGTCGACAACCATTTCAGGTAGTGACAATAGTGAACAGCACATTATTCTACTGCATATAAAACAAAAACGTGTTATTTTTTTTTAATAATAGATCATTGTGTAAATCTCGTTTAAGGACAACGATTCTTACTGCGGCATTATTTACCATGACGGTCGGTGTTCGATCTTAGCTAATACTCTGATTGCAGAAGCCAATAAATTTACATTTTGTTCTTCGTCTACACTGAACCCGGACATATTTTATAATAGGTTTAATAATAATATGATCAGGTTATTTGGTGTCATCTTTATTTTCGACCAATCCAAAGACTGGAATGGGGCACCCGTTTGCGTCACTGGGGCTTTCTCGTCCCCTCGTCAATTTATAACAAAAATTGACAATTTGACTATGACAAAAACAATGAATAGATGCGGGTACGTTCCTGAAAGAGGTCAGATTCAATCACAATGATACTTTTTAGTCGTTCAAAACTGGTTCTGCTAAAAAATTTTAGTCTATATATAAATATTGAATTCGCATAAGAGTCATAATAACCAGCAGAAAACGATCTTTCGCCTACATCCAGCTGTACTCTATTGAACGATCTAAGCTAACAGTTTCAATTGTATAGCGATAAATTCTTTTGAGTGCACACCCGTCAATGGTAGGTGTACAAAAACGTTTTAGTCAATGCTAATGCTTGATACGCCTGTACGTGTGTGCAGCAAGCTAAACGAAGCCTATAAACACAACTCGATCCGATCCAAATCAGGCGATATTATTGTCGATAAGCGGTAGGAGCAGACGATCCAAATGTCTAAATGTGGCGGACTCAAATAAATAATGATTCAAATTTGCGACCTCGTTTATCTATTAAAGATCCACCTGGCGCTGCGCGTATCGAGATTGCAGAGCTATACGCCGTTAAAAATAAATCAGTCACGTTACTATGTCTTCTGGATGGCGTGGGACACCCAGATGTGCATGCCTATTCGTGGTATGTCAATGACACGTTCCTCGATGAGACGATTGCCAACAACTACACCATCGACAACATCTCTATGGATACCCAGGTTGGTTCATTCTCTTTGCTTGCCAAAACCATCAAAATTGATCAATATACTATAGAGTTTGCCTTTTCCTTAACAGAAAACACAATATAAGTAATTTAGATTTTTCCCACGTCAGGATCTCGCTATAACGAATCGTTTATGTCTAGGAAAAATAAATCCAGATCACACGTTTGATTAGCTATAAATTGCTCCGTATCTAGTATAAAGTCGCCCATTTGACGTGTCAACTTGATTTATTCAAACGCTTGCACGTTGGGAAAACACTGCGCATAGGGATTCGGCAAGAATGCCGTTTTACTGTGGGCTAGAATCGGGTCATCTACCTTTTTTACAAAAGCAAGTGTCCTGTGGCCAAAGTTCACACTCTGCGCACTGCGGAGTAGGCAGCATTTTTTGTGCAAAGGTTTCACAAAACTTAGTTGCCCCTCTGACATAAGTACTCCATTTACGCAGGCCTGAGTGGCCCACATGGATTCAAAAGCTGAGGACATGTTAGGGAATTCAATCATTTTGATTTTCAACTTGGCCCTATCGTAGGGTGCCATCCGGCTTTTCATCATGGTCTTCTCAGCCGATTTAACAAAACTGTCCCATAATAGCGTACGAGAGTTTTCAGGCCATTTACAAGCAACTCGTTTACGGGGCTAAGGTAACCGTGTAGTACGACCATTGGGACAGTCGGTGGGATGTCAGTCGGTGGCTTTTTAGCTTCCTCCTTACAGAGATAATTTGAGACAAAACTTCACGAATTTAACTTAACAATTCGTACTTCTAACGGAACAATGTTATCTACCCTTGCGCAGTTATTGAAGTACAAGTTCCATGAACGTACATCTCGCGGGGCCGTTTGATCTTGACATTAATCATACTGAAAGACGTATTATCATTTGCGTACGGTGCGAAATTGGTGCATGGGAAATGGATCGTTCCACATGGAAGCCTCATGCTCCTAATTTAGAAGATGGCGCACAGCATGTTGCCATTGCATCAAAGAACGCGCGGTGCCATGGCCAGTTTCTGATAGAAAAAAAAGTTCACAAAATGTATCATCTCAACAGCGATGCTACCTTGTTTGTTCGCGTAAATATGCTATTTTCCCGCCATTGCCAAATCGTGCTGAATAAGACTATTGTCAACAAAGCATTGACTTTGCGGATTAACACATCAAGGAAAAGCTCTAAGTATTATTTTATATAATAAATAATATTTTATTAAATTTGCTTATTAGAATTATTGCAGTTTCGTTAAGCAACAAATGATGGCTCGGCTAATAATTATCATAATAATTAGAATAAATAAAATGGAAATTGATATTTCCAAGATAATGATGAGAGTACCTTAGCATAGTTTCGCTTTATTCCGGCAATTCAGATAAATGACAGTTAGATAGTGCAAAATTCAAGAAAGCTTATGTTATATAATTTGTACTCATCATGTAGCTACTTTCGTTATCGTATGTTTTTTTTTTATGTGTGAGCTTGCTTTTTGTCCCATTAGCCTTATTCTTTGTCCATTAATATATTGCTTTTGTAATTAGCGTCAATATGGATGCGAGGGCAAGAATACTGTAGGCAGCGGCCCTCGGGGCTATATGGATCTGATGCAGTTTGCTCCTCCAGCTATCGTCGAGCCACTTCCACCCGTATTTGGAGCTCTATTCAACGACTCGTCCATTGAGCTACGTTGCCGAATTGAGTGCAGTCCGGAGTGCAGCGTCCAATGGCTCAGAACTCATCCTGATAAGGGGACGTACAATCTTATGTATGATCCGCTCTACACGATAAATGTAAGCAGGCAACGTTTCTTACTTTAACATGTAAAAGAGGATCGAGCTGCGGACATACGCAGCCACCATACCGGCAGCCATTAAACTAGACTCTGGTAGTCTTATTTTTCAATAAGTAAGGGCGCTGTAAATAAGGTGTGTAATAAAATTACTAATTTTATCGGATTGAAAAGCCCTAATAATAGTCACACTTTGTTACCCCATAATGGAGAGGCTCAGTCAGGCAGCATACTACAAAGCAGATATGATCTTTGCTGTTTGTACACAAAACAACTAATCGAACTCATTATCTCATCTCATCTCTCTCATGCAGCACACAAATGCCTGAAATCCAAATATTTATAATAATAACAGTCGAGGACTGCAATAGCGCATCCGCCAAAGCTCTTAATTAGGTAATTGTCTAAACGCAGTCGACAAGAGGGCCCCATTTTGCCGATTAAGCGTATCTACATTACTTTGCCCTAATAACTGAAACATATCGTCACACCCGACGTTACGCGTTCGAACGTTATAGGGCCAGGCAACCTGTCGTATGAACTCCCGCGTGTTTTTAAGGCCATAGCTTTGTTCTTTTCTGAGCCTGAAGCGTATTTTTTCGCACAAAATGAATGTATTATTCATCTTGAATCTTGAAGAACAATCACTCCCATTATCGGGTTTGCTGTTTCTGTAACAGTAGTCACAAATTCAGTTCCATAGGCGTACCCAGGTAATCGATCACTTCTGCTCTACGGTAATAGTGAACCCCGAAAATTCATTATCTGAAAGATAACATGACAGATAGCTTAAAATCACTAGAAGCGTTCTAAAGATGGACGCCAGCGTTTGCTGCTGATCTTTCGCTGTTTTCGTATGGTTGTGTTTAACTGTTGTTGTATAGTTCCATACGCTGAAATCGGACATCACTGGCCGTCACCGATTTCAACGACATATAATATTTTTTCCGTACTTCTAATAGTAAACAGACTACCGGTTGCAGATTAAATCACGCTTCTTTACGTTGCAGTGGATAGCACGGGAGATTATACTTTACAAGCGTTTTTATATAGTTGCAGTGAGGCAAATTGGATGTTTTAGACCGGTTATCGCTGCGTTTGGGCCATGCCCATAATGGCTATCTGAAACAGATTGAGAACTACGGCGCCCTCTAGTGAGCACGGAGCAGTTGAAGACACGCCGGTACCGCATCTATTAAAAAAAATTGCAGAAACTCCTTCTGGAGTCTTCTTCCGCTGGTTTGGCAGATTTCATAATTGACGCTCCGTCGGCGTCAACTGGCGAAGTATCGACGTCGTTAGTCCTATGCAAATAAGTCCCTTGGAGCATGGATAAACTTTCAACAAGTCAACCGCTTACTGAGCAATTTCTCCAGTTCCCGATAAATGCGGGGCAGCAAAAAGGTCACAAACTGTGTGCGATTTTTTCAGCGCTATTTGCCGTTAGTAATATAATAATAATAATAATAATAAATTCGCTAACGGCTTTTCGCTTCACAGACTATACTGGATCCCGCCAACATAAGCGAAAACTACTTTTCTGGGGTGGTGTCAACGTTGCGCTTCAACCTGCAACTCTTTCCGAACGGTCTCCTTGACCTCAGTAAGGATGGTACTCAAAATAAAGACTTTATCGTACACTACTCCTGTGTAAGCAGCGGTAATTTCGTTGGACAATCGGTTAATTCAACTACAAAGTTTCAGGTTGAATGTAAGTAACACAAAATTAAGTTAGTGTACGTACGTACGATGATTCAGTTTAAAAATCGGTGTATGGGTACTATGGCTTTTAAAACCTAACGGGTTATCCGACCTCATCGCTGGATGGTTGTAGAAGCAAAGAATTCCGCTATTATATTGTTTATGATTTTGTTCTTTTTAAGCTAACTAAAAAAATAAATTTATGTACATATGCAAATCTATAGGGCAGAACGTGTTTTGCCTAAAGATGTACGATAGACAATCGCTACCTGTATTTCACCTATTATTTATACATGTTATTCCATACATTCAAACAGACGCTCCAAATAACGTTCGCGTCAACCCAGAACGCCAAAATGTTCGCGTCGGAGACCGCCATGAACTGGTTCAGTGTCGAGGCAAGGGCGTTCCTCCGCCTCAGTATCAATGGTTCTTTAATGGAGAGGTTGTGTCGAACAGTTCCCAACTGCCGCCTGAATACGATCTCAAAAAGGATCATCATGGCAATTATACATGTATTGCTTCAAATAAACATGGCCAGGCAACAAAAGTAGCTTACATCAATATTGTCTGTAAGTGTAATTATGCTGACGCGTTTATTGAAAGATAGTAACTCTCTTGTAGAATTAGGTATATATCTTTAGGTATATAACCTGTGTGACCCGGTCAAGCTCTTCCAGCCGGTACACGAAAACGTAATCGAGACGGTCAGGAACAAACACTAGAAGAAAAGTTCAGAAGACTTATTCATTTCGAAAAGATTTTAACCCGCCTATTACTACTACCGCCTATTACTGGGGTCGCCTTGACTTTAATTGTTCTTAGGACGGATACGAAAGGACTCCGTCTGTTGATGGAAGACAGATATGCCTAGAAAAAAAAGGATAACGTCTATAATATTATATAGGATAGATGACAATCGATCAGATTTAGATTCAGATCTAAATTAGGATAGAATCTAGATTAGAATAGGACACACTGCGATTCATTTAAGTTTAAGCAAAAAGCATCTGATTAACAAAAGTATCAGCCAAATACCCCCAGAAACGATATATTCTGCTGTCAAGTCGTCACTAGAGAATGCAAAAAAATGCACAGTTTTTCCCCTATAATGCCTAGTCTTTTTTATTGTATTATTTATTATGACATGTTCAGCGTTATTCAGGTTGAATAATGGCTTTCAATAGGATATTCAAACATAATTAGGCCATCAGTTTTGAAACCACCTGGATTCTGATATTGTTGTGCTCTTTTTGTACAGCAAAACTGTTTGTGTCGTGTTTACAGCTGCACAGCCATATGAACCCTTTGTCTATATTCAATGCGAGGAGTGTTACACACTTTAGCGACGTTATTTTATCTCTAAGGCTACGGACGGTGTACACTGCGTCACAGGTCAGCGAGGCACTTGTTTTTGTAATGGGCAAACCCATTGAACCCACTGACACCGTTGAAGAATACGGCAGCCACGTACAACCAGTGCGTCAAAGTGACCCAGTTTTTTCTCGAAATTTGCCCAGTCTCCATTATACGTCCAGATCAGATGTTTTTCAACAAGCCAATATAAGTGGTAACAGGGGTTGCTCCTGTCGAATATATAGAGTATGCAAGATCCATACGTAAGAAGCATACTTCACTTCAATATTCGAACATTTCAATATAGTGGACGTTAGACTGAGCAATCGTTCGTTCAAAACTAATCATTGCAAGATTTGAACAATACATTCTTGCATGCGCATAAACTGATGGGTGCCAACATCTTGTACATGTAATAACGAATATCAATAATGCAAGGGAGATAGAATTTTCTACATAGAAAACCTAAGTAAAACATCGCTTTCTTGCCCATTCCCGTATTTGCCCCACGCACATACACACCCATCCGCCTCTTTGTCTTGTCCATATTTCTTGTAGATAAACCGTCGTGCCAAATTCAACCCGAAAGCTCAACGGGCGACGACGACGAGCCGGATCGTCTCGTATGCCGGGTCGATGCTAACCCAGCTAAGTTCTCTGTTAAATGGGATCGCAATAATAAACCCCTCAATGACAAAAACGTCATTATTGAGGGGATGTCGGCGGTGCTTGTTCGGGACCCCGACACGGAACGGTTCCACTTGGGCGAGTATCGTTGTGCGCCAAACAACTCGATCGGCTTCACGGAGTGCGCCTACAATGTTGAGGGCGCGGCCACACTGCCTGCCGGTCTCGTGTGGATCGTTCTTGCTGTCATCATTATCTTATTGCTGCTAACAATTATAGTTTTGTTGATCTGCCTCTTCCGACGGAAGATAAAACGTATGTTGTTAATTATATTTAGCTACTATTGAAACATTTCGTTTGTTTGTTTGTTGTTGCAAGTGTTCTGTTCATGTCCGGGTTTCCAATCAACGATAGCTATGCCCTAGCTAACAATTACAGATTGATTTGTGTGTATGATAGGTACGCAGTGACTGTTTCCCGGTTTTGTATAATTGTACATTGTACGTACTGTTGTTCCTGAGCTAGTTATATTAACCAACACATCATGCATATCTATATAACGAAGATGACTTGCGTTTTATCATTTAACATTGAGGCATGCGAAAACGTTGCGAAACGTTTTATGATTGTTTTCAAAGCTCGTTTTTGTGTGCTCACTAATTATCTACGTAGAATATGATATCACAATGGTGGTACCTAAGGAGGATTCTGTTCGGAGCTACTCGACTGACAAGTAATGTAACATTCAGTGATCCGGGGTCTCGCCGATCAGCTCTACCACCATAGACGAGCGACGGCCTCAACTCAACTACGGTGTGACGCATTTAGCAAGTGTTGCCAACTCCTACTAAACCCCCTGTCTACCCAGGTACGACCTTTGCCAACTCTATCCAATTAGACGTATCGGTCTCGTTAAATTAGAGCCAGACGCTACGGGTGGTGGCAGTGAGTCGAAATTGCTACCGAATTTTGTGCAGTAGTCCTGTACGAACAGCTTGAACATTATGTATATAGATATATATATCTATCCCTCTCTTTCTCTATATTATTAAGAGAGAGGGAGATTCCATAAATGTTTTAGGTGCCGATACGGTGATCACTCGGCGACCTCAGACTCCCGAAACCGAAGAGTCACCATAAGCATTTCGATCTTAAAGAAAACACGTTCTATTTAGGAAGGAATCAGGTGTTTCAGTATATGCATCACAAATATACAGTTACTGACTTTATTTGTAGAAGATTGGTTTTATATTTGTCGTAACGATTGGCGGCTGCTGCTGCTGCTGCCAATCATTACGACAAATATAAAACCAGAGAACATTATCCTCAGACATTCTTTCCTACTTTCTATTTTCCTGTTTTTCATTTGTCCGGGAAAGCATTCGCCACCACCAGACGGGTCCGGCCTTCATGTAAAAAGGATGGCCCGGTGCCAGCTGGTACATGGACCTTCTCCTTTCCATTCTAAACAAACCATTTTAGAAATGCGTATTTTTTTGTTGCCCGATACACAATCTCGAAAAGTGCGAGCACGGTCATCGTTTGGATAGAGGAACCAACTGTGTTGCTGCAACCTTTCTGCAAGAATTCGTTCCCTATCGCGATTTCCGGAAGATATAATTATCTTCGTACAACAACGCATTGAAAGGAGCTGGATAAGGATTATAAGATAGTAGAGCTTAAAGATTACGTTCGCGTAATACACGTAATCGTGAGGATGAAGATCTCCGAACTGCACATCAGTTGATGATATTCGATGTTATCTATAAACAACAAAATCAGCAAGATTCTTATTCTGTTTATGCTTGCTGAGATAGTGAACCGTAATTTTTTGGGTCTGTAATATTGTAGTTTGTCCAGTAAATAGCATGGCCCGCCATACTTATTATTAAATTATCGTACTTATTAACTTATTAATTAATTAATAAGTTGTCTTATTTCTAATGTTACCTAGAAATTGCTGAGATCCGTTAATTTTTTTGCGCTAACTAATTCGACCTTGGCATTGTCTCAGTGCTTACGAGTTCTGCGAGTGATTTGCCTATAAATATGAAATTGGGCTACGTATCTTTGTGTGTTACGGTAAAAGCTTTCTCAAGCAGTTTACTTTGGACGCATCTATTTTGTGTTGTGTATTGATTCTTTCCTGTAGAACCTGACCCATATGATATAAACAGCGGTAGTTATGGAGGTGGGCCTCCCGGCACTTATCAGAACATTACCAAGGACCGTGCCCCACCTCCTTTACCACCCCAAGGCAATCCGAACGCGGTTGCGCCAGCTTACGAAAACATACCCTACAAGCGACCACAACCTAAAAAGGTAGATTTTCAATTGTAATTCAGTTCAGAGATAGAGATTTCGACCTGAAAATGCGATCATCCTTTTTCTTACCGTTGCTCAATATTCCAGTACCTTATCTCCTGTTTGAGGATTATTCCACAATCGAAGGATGACTGTGCTGGATGCCAGTTAATTAGCCGTTACCAATAGAAGCAATAATCTTTCTAAACACTAAACCTGAAAGTTTAACTCGAACGTTTTCATCGATATACGCAACCATTGGAACCTATCGGTACGATGAACGCAATGACCTCATATAATTACATAGCATCTAATGAGTAATTCTACTTATCCATACTTACTAACATACGTTTCGTTTCAACCTGTCCTTATTGGGTTACAGCAAATCGGTGCCGGTGAAGACCTGGTCTATGCCGACCTATACGAAGACATTAAGGCCGGCCGCATACCGGACCCACGAACAACCCAGCCTGACCTACCTCCAAAAAAAGAGCTGGTTTCCACGCCACCGTTGCCCCCAAAAGCGCCCGCAAGAAAATCCAGACAATAAATAGCCGCTTCAAATAAAACTGTTCACAGACAGAATGTAAAAGAACTGTCCATACCTAGAATATCTCGAGAAGTTTTGACACGCGGATACACAGGTGGGGCGATAAATTCGAATAATATAGGGCATAAAAAACGAAATACATGATTCTTTTACCGTTGATTTATTATCAGTGAGCTGCACTGAAGGCACGAATAGTGCCTTAGCTAGTGCTGCATGTCAAGGGGGAGAAGAGACTGCGAAGTGTTGTCTAACGGCGTGGAAAAAATTGTGGGTCACAGGCAAGTTCCCTGTCGCTCTGGCAAGCTTGGCTGCGAGCAACCTTATGTCAGGGAATCGCTCGATGATCGTGTATATAGAAAGGTTATGTCTCGATGTTACTAGATATTGAATAAATGTATGTGAGATTAATATGATACAAAATCTCGCAGTTACTGGCACTGTTAAATTCGTTGCCTAACCCGCTGATTCGTCGGGATAGTAATTGCTGACCCTTCATCTTCACGAGCACAGGAACTCGCTTGAGGGACTTTCTTCGACTCTTCAGTTTGCTCCTAAATTGTTTTAGCCCATTAAATTATAATCTTGTAACACATTAGATCGTCGTAATTTCACATAAACCAAATGATAACGAATAAAGTGAACTAGTTTTCGAACCCCCGCCTTCTTCCCATATGCTGTATTTGCTAAAATTGAATATCTCACTATGAAACCCCCAAATTCATTTGATCGAACCTAACGTATCGTATGCAACAAATGCGGTTATTACTGGCTAGCCTTTAGGAACAGTAGGGGAAGGGTAAAAGTGTCCGAATTGTAAAGGTGTCTCACGTCACCCGTTGGTGCAGCGAGGTAATGGATCGGTGTCTTGGCATTGGCGTTTGATCGCCTGCCGCTAATGTGTGAGGGAAAATGGGGTAGTCAGCCGTTAGAGTTAGTTAGCTCTTTGCGGCCATCTAAACAAACTACGAAAACAACTAGAAAATAGATAAAGTAGCAGCAGGCAGCGTGAGCGTCGTAAGCAACCGCGCCAGTAATAGTTATGATACGATAGCGCGCACAAGACAGGCAGTATGAACCCGCCCCATCGCGCGGACAAAATGTTTGCGCATTTGAGGGCAACGCAGAAAAACCCCTTCTAAAGAACAAACTTTCTCGCCTAGTCTGTCTCCTTATAGAACGGCGAAAGGAACCAATAGATTATTTCCAATATCGTAGCATATTCGTCTTCTTCTGATTCTGCCTGTTGAGTACGAGCTGCATATAACCAGTTCTTTTTACTCTGCGCCCTTAGGACAATAAGGGTTTGAATGTATGTTTTAACAATGACTCCGACGTTCTTGATTTAACTTAGCTTTACAAAAGCCGTTGGCTTAGCTTGACGACAGACGCCGTGGTAAAAATGACATCAAAAGGAAAAAACACTTCGGTGTGAACTTTTAAGTAGTAAATCTTTTTCAAACTAATAAGTTAGCGGAATAACCGCAAGGAAGTAATGTGTTGAAATGCTACAGTGAAGGCCTAGCTGCAATAGGACAAGTATGCCGTTCACAAAATCACCACTTCGTAATATTGGAATAGAGTATTGAATCACAATAACGGAACAATTGATATATTAGCGCTACTGAAATCGTGTGACTATCTCTTCCCTATAGGAGGGGACGCTCTCATTTTCTGGCCCAACTCCAACCTACTATGACTGTCTTAGTTAACCGCACGGCTGTTGTTGTTGTTGTTTATATTGTCGTATTCCTGAAAACGAAGCCTTGATAGCGTATTATTCAATAGAACGTGTTACATAGTGCGTCTGAAGGAAGAAGGCAGGTTTTCAATTGAGCTACCGTAATAGAGCGAAACTATGATACTCATATCAACTCCATGTCCTCGGTTTCAACTTGAATAACGTACTTTAAAAGGCCAGTCACGGCAGCTGTCTGTCTGGCACATGATAGTATAGACCCATCTGTCACTGACGGAGATACCCTCTCGCTAAAGTAAGAACAGAAACTAGATATTTATTAGAATCCTCGATTCAAGGCCTTTATTGTGTCCAAGAAACAGTGACTAGGACATATGTATGCCCAATACACGCGAGTGCCTAGCACGCTGTGTAATTTATTTCTGACTAAGATACATCAGATGAAGAACGCCGAATGGGTTGAGGGCAGCGGTGGCTTGCTGGCTTTCTCGGTATGACGAAGTGTGTTCCTTATCTGTATGCGTCCGTAGATGTTTCAACAGCAAAAGCATTGTGAACTATCTGGAAATCTAGAAAATGATCTGGAATAATGTCCATGATGATGAACAGTTGTTTGTTGAAAATAATTTAATATTAAACATGTCAGAATATACAGAAGCAGTTGTCTGATAGCTGCTGATTGTATCGTTAAACATCAGAAATAAACAAATGTAATAGTCAATGCAGTGTCGGTCTACAACGGCTATGTTCGGTGTGAGCAATAGGAATTATTATTATTACCAAATTGAAAAATCAGCACAAACGCACACACAGAATATATGATACTGTTTCAATTTGTTGAGGCGCGCGTCACAGCTTTCTTCTCTACCGGATAAAGTATTGGTGTACCCTAAGCGACTGTATGGGCCTTCGTGCTTGCGACAATAAGCATTTGTAGATGTTAGCTCACGTGCCTTGTAACTTCGAAGTTAAGTTTATTAGGTAACAACGACGCGTTTGCAGGTGTTCCATCGCACAGAGTCGTCGTTCGCGTGGTTGAGACCCGTGCCTGCGGCGTTGCGGTTCAAGCATTGATGTTATTCAACTTTTTTTTACAACCAATGCGGCTATTCCAGGTGTATTTGTCATTACGAAACCCGCGGATGGCTGTGTTAGGCGTGGTACTTTCTAGGACTTCCGTAAAGATCAAGTTTGCCATTCGAACGACGCCAAAATATGTGATACCTCACTGCAGACAATGCGCGGAATTAAAGCCCTCTCGTTTGCGACACAAGAAGCCTATGCCTATTGAATCGTCACTGCTTAAGGCTCACGAAGGTCAAGCGGACAATTGCAGCAAGGAAATTAGTACTCTAAGCGCATAAATATATCGTACCGCATATCCTAGCCGTTAATAGTAAGGGTAACACAGTTACGTTTTCCGGTCATGCCTATTACAATAGTAAACATTATAGCTTGTCTACGTGGATAATATTCGAATTGTTTGATCTTGTTCGATCCCTCAAACAACGGTGAAGTTTGAGGCCTATTTGCATTCATATGTTGCTCACGCGAAAATCGAATATGCTTTAGAAGGAAGCACAATTCCCTGGACGTGAGTCGAACGGCTCGACCCACGATTAAATGCAGTCCGCCTGGGTACCATTCGGGGTCGAGCTTCCAATTACATGATGTTCCATAAGATAATTTTTAAGAAAATTCCTTAAGAAAATTAAGTAAAGCTCTAATTCAACATCGTGGTAAATCCGTTTAGGTCAGATCGCGACATCTATAGAGTCGCATAGTGTTGGCCCGTAGAATGGTAGATATTTTGTCTACAATTTAGAACTAGGTGCATAAGTAATCTGTATTGTAAGAGTTTGCCTTGAAGCCAAAATATGGCTGTTACTGTTTTTTTTTTTTTTTTTTTGGTATTTTTAGTATCGTTGCTCGAATACATGTATTTGAAGCTCTTCCCACTGTATTAAGGCAATAATCGTATTAATTGTAGATAGATAGCCTAACTATAATTTTATACTATATTATGATGAAGCCCATGTAAGTAGCAAAATGTACGCCATTTTCATTCGGGTTATTTCGACAACAGCAAACGAAAAATAGAGCTGCTATTGTATAGAATGACATTAGACGGGAGCTGCGACGCACGAATGGTTGTTGAACGCCCCACCGCCCCCTGTCACCCCAACCTTGTCATGAGCCGCCCTTGGCAGCGTGCCATTCCTTTAGGGTCACCCCGAACAAGCTGCGGACCGAACGAACGAGTGCCGGAACTCCAAATCGCGTGGGTTTCTATGACAGAGGCGCTGTGCGACAGCGAATATAATTGCGTAGCTCAATAGGGCTGCCATGTCGTCCTGCAACATATTGCCTATTGGGCATTTCGACTCCGCTTTCGTGCCTTCGTTGATGCGCCATGCCTTCACGATCCGCTTGTGCAGGCCGAAGCCGCACAACGTGCGGTAGACCTTATGGCAAAATAGGCTCCCTTTCAGTTTGCAGTCCGAGAGCCTTGGGGGGCGAGCGGACCGAGGAGGTCACAAGGTCGCAAGCGGTGTCATCATGTAGATCACGTTTCGTCTTCGTCATGTCCACTCCGTAGATAAACTATACGTTCGTTATAGTCAGTGCCACAACCACTAGCGACACTGACTCCATCGGCAGGCTGTAAACACACGGCCAAATACTCTTTGCCGCTCTCCACGTCTGTTCCAGCTGTCGGCATCGCACTAACGACAACTGTAGCTAACGGCGACACTATCAAGGGCCAGGCCGATAACGTTTCAGCAACTACTACGCGCTAAAGCGAGCCGGGGGGGCAAGCAAGCGATGCCTGCCGTATATGCTCCGCGGCCATGTCGTTCTGTTGTTTAGCCGTAGCGGGCAGCTAACGGTCCGTGTCGTAGCGGTATTCGGAGCGAGTTCGGTTTAGAGAGGGCTGGCGTGGCTAACTAGTTCTGCGTACACGAATTCGAAGTGACGATTCACTGTGACAGCAGCAGTAACAATAAAGCGGTAGGATGATATCGCTCCGCGACGACTCAGCATAGCCCTTTGAAAATTTTGTCGTGGCAGACAGCTGCCGATGGCGGTAATCTCAGTTAGCCTTTATTCGGTTCGTAACTGCTGTTACCTGCTGGCTTTGCTGCACGAGCGCCAACGGAAACAGCAGCGACAATAAGGCAGAGTTCCCGGGGGGTCGGAATCTTCTGTAGTGCTTAAACGATCTCTCAGATTGTACATAAAAAGAGCACGAGTGAGCTAATTGCGGTTCCAACAGCCACAAGCAGCAGTGGCCAACCAATTACGATCGTTCGAAATTAGAAAGATATAGCGGTTACGAAGGGAGCAAGAAACAAAGAACTACTTCAAATTGATCGACAGGTAAATTGCAGTTGAAAAAAAAACTGCCTTCTCACTACGATATTCAGCACAACTACAACATTATTCATACGCACTCTAGAGCAGTAAGTTGGTACTGTTATAGTCCTTACGATCGTGCAGGTAGGCATTTAATTAATTGACCTCGATATTAAACGTGGGGGGAGGCGAGGCAGTCATTGTTCACTTAAAAAGCATGCATTTTTCGTGGGAACTTGTCGAAGTTATATATTCTACTGTACGGGATATTCTGTAGATCTCTGTAGGGTTTAATCAATTGTCATATCGAATAGCACTGCAGAAGTACTAATGGCAATGATGCCAGGCTTACGACCTGTGTCCTATCGTTGTATCGTTTGGACCAGTCAAGATTAGAATTGCTACAGACGCTGCTATACAGTTATCGTTGCAGAAAGGCTATCGACGCTGTTTGTGTTCATTACATTTGCCTTTCGATATGTCTCTTATAATTCCCGACCCGGACGGGATTCTCCGGGGAAATTCATAACCGCTTAAGTTGCTAAGCGCATCAATGACTCATTTCCTCAAGCCGCAGTTCCATATTCGCGATGCAATAACCCTGTTTATCTTAGAACACTGAAGGATGACGTTTGTAAAAGCCGTCCTGCTAGATTTCATTTCATTCGACGAAGATTTAGTTCCAATTTGAAAAGCTTCACTATATATA